AGAGTTATATAGCTTATGAAATACATCATTATCAAAATAAATAGGCAGATTAACTTAGGGCACTTATGTTGTTTCTTTTTCCTACTTGAACTCAAGGAACTGATGATGAGGAAAATGACTTTTCAATTTCTTATGCTTTAAAATTTACACTTATACCTGGGTGTGGTAGCACAGGCCTGTAATCCCAGCACTCAGGAGGATCACTGCAAGTTCGAGGACAGCCTATGCAACATAGTGAGTTGAAGGCCAGTCTCAACTGCATAGTGAGACCTTGTCTCAATCCCCTCTCCAAAAAAAAAAAAAAAACAAGTAAAAATAAAATTTACAGTTACACTAGCATTTTAAAGAACAAATCTGTCTTTTATAGATATAATTCTAAATTTGTTAATAACATTGCATCTTTAGAGAAATACAGTGATGGATAAGAAACTCATTTGATTATCATAAATGTTGAAAATTGACTACATCAGATTTTATAAAACCTATCCATGATAGTAATAATGTTATTGTTTACATGACAATATTGTCTTTCTATTTGAAGATGACACCAATGATAGTAATTGGTATCTGTAGGGACAATGTACCTGAAACTATCTGTGTACAATCAATAGTTCCATCCATTATATGTAGCAAGATACCTTTACAACTGAGAAGTATGAGGCCTGTTCTTTTTTTTTTTTTTTTTGGTACCGGGGATTGAACTCTGGACCTTGCGCTTTCGAGGCAGGCTCCGGAACCACTGAGCTAAATCCCCGGCCTCTAGGCCTGTTCTTAAGTTATATCTGTTTTAACGTTAAAGAATGAAAAATGATGCCCAGACTAAGTCAGTCCAAACTCAGAAATGGTTATCTCCACTGCAAAGTAAAGAAAAATTATTTTTAAGAATATTGCTGTCTGGTTTTATTTTATTTTTTGGGGGGTACCGGGGGTTGAAGTCGAGTCCTTGTGCTTGCAAGGCAGGTGGCAGAACCACTGAGCTAAATCCCCGGCCCCTGTCTAGTTTTAATATTAACATTTCATACCAGAGTAAGGAGAAAATGTGACTGTTAAACTGACTAAAAGTACGTTTTATTTCTTTGTTTACTGTTTTGAATAATACAAGCACAGTATCTCCATCCTAATTATTTTCAAATTAAGGAAAGACTTCAAATTAGGAAAGTTTTTTTGTTCACCTAGCTTTGGAGTAGCAGGATATATGCTAATTGCTAACTTTGTCTGCATTATTTTTTAAAGATCAAATGGGCACCATGGTAATCTTTATTAATCTCATACAGAGCAGCTAATTAAAATTTTCATTATTATCCATCTATTATCTAGTTGTTTCCTTTGTTTGGTATCAGAACAGGCTGTTAATAATAAGCCATTCTTGTATTACATCCCCATTAAGTATAGAGAAATTTATTTTAATCTGTTGCACTGTTTTGTTTTTAGGTGACTTCTTTAATGTTATGCTGTACCACACTGATTATGTTGAAGACAGTTTGATATTTTGTAATAGAGATTTTAGAATTAAATACTTGTTGCTCCATTTTTTTTTCAATATTGGTGAAAGGGAGCATATGGTAGATAAAAAGGAGTGACCTAAGGACCAGAATATTTGTGTTTTTGTCCTTTAACCTTACGAATTATGTGAGCTTGGCAATCACGTGTATTCTTTATTTTTGTAATGAATATATTAGAAAAGCTGATCTTCAGGGGTGGGCCTATCCTTAATATGCTACCATTTTTACATAATTTTCAAATAGGAAATTATGTTAAAACCCCAAAGTTCTTTTATGCTTGCCAAAAGGTATTGGTTCTCTAAAGTTATATTTTCTGTCTTGCTCTGTTGGATTTTCTGATTTCATTCTTTACAACAACAAAGTATCCTAAATCATATAATTTAAACTTGTTTCTGAGACTTGGGTGGGAAGTGAGCTCCAAGGTGATGGGCTGGCCAGTGTCCATAAATAGTATCTCAGCCATGACTATACACCTTAATTAAACTAATCCTATGGAAGTCAATTAGAAAAAAAAAGAGAAAGTAATATTTTCTGTGTCTCTGAGTATACACATGAAATGCTTGTTTTAGGTACTTTATGTACATTGCCTTAATCTTCATAACAAACATGATGGCAGGGATGGGGATTTAGCTCAGTGGTTCTGCCACCTGCCTCACAAGCGCAAGGTCCTGAGTTCAATCCCCAGTACCAAAACAAAACAAAACATGATGGCTAGGTGTTTCTTGCCCCTAGGTCATAGATGAGCAAATAGGTTTATAGAGATTAGTTAATAACTTAATGAACAATTACTAGAAACTAAGTGGGCTGTGATTCTGAGCTGTCCCCAGCAGGCTATATAGTATCTTAGTTTGTCTCTTTTGTACTCAGCATCACTGAACATATTATAACTGAAAGTCTCAGAATGTATAATATTCTGAAGCAAAGCTATACTAAGCTTCGAAGTCATACCATGTTGAAACTCATCTGTCATTCACACGTTTATTTCCCTCCCTTTCTCTCTCCCTCTCTCCTTGCCTTTTCTCCTAGAAATATGTATTAAATGTTTACTGTAGACCAAATGCTTTCTTATGAGCTGTGAACCCAGTGGTGAGTAAGGCAGGTAATATCCCTGTCTCAAAAAGCTTGTGTTCTAATGAGGAAGACACAGTAAACAACTTAATTATTAAACAAGATAAACTTACACAAAGCTACTACTATAATTGAAATCTAAAATGTCATGATAAGAGAAGATTTTTGAGTTGAGATGTAAACGATGGGAGGAAGTAATGGAGTGATTCTGCTGAGTCTTCCAAGCAGAGAAAATGACAAAATACAAAGCTCTATATACAGGCCTCCAGGGGAGGGTCAGTAGGGATTGTTTAATCTATTAATTAAGAAAATAAGTTTGAGAATTGTATGAAAGTAGAATGTGACTCTGGACTTACAAACTTTTAATTTCTTACACTAGTAGTCTTCAGAGTGGTGCAGCAGTAAATAGTTCCATTAATTGTTACTGATGGACTTTACATTCTTGTAGAAAACAAGTTGAGCAAAAATAAAAGTATAATTTCAAATTATACTATAAATGTTTACCTGCTGTTACTACTTGTGGAATAAGACATAAGTAGATTGATGATAGGAATATAGAAATAATTTCAAATAGATGTTTTATTTACAATGCTATTTATCTGGTGATTCATTTATAAACTTCTTTAATATCTACTGTATCTCCTAACAACACAAGAAAAACCAAGTTAGTGGTCATTACACAAAATATGGGAACTAAACTGTAATTATTATGGAGAAATTAAATAAAAGCACTCGGGCAGATTCAGATACTGTGTCAGATACTTGGTATACATGAAGTTTCTAGTATAGAATGAGAAAGATACAAATGACCTTTACCACAATATCTTAAGTGCTATAATAGTGATAATAATGATAGTTCTATAGGTAAATAGAATACCCTTATATGTTATAAGCCTTTATGAGACTTTTTTTTTTTGATACCGGGGATCAAATTCAGGACCTTGTGCTTGTGAGGCAGGTGCGGTGCCACTGAGCTAAATCACTGGCCCCTTTATCAGACTTTTATCATTTATTATTTAAAGGAATTTTAATTCAGAAATTAAGAATGATAGATATTGTGGTTCATTAGTCACTTTCCCATTGCTAAGACAAAAAGTACCTGATATACACAACTTAAGGAAGAAAAGGTACATTTTAGCTCTTGATTTCAGAGGATTCAGTCCATGCATGGTTGGCTGGTGCTAAGGCAGAAATGGCATGACAAAAGGGCATAGTGGAGGAAAGCTATTCAACCTATGGTAGCCAGGAAGCAGGGAGACAGTGCAGAACCAGAATGAGTGATATACCCTTCAAAAGTTTGGCCCTAGTGACCACGTGGATGAATACAGTGCTCCCATGATCCAGTCACCTTCCAAAAGCTGTACCTCTTTTTACAGGAGACTTTTGGGAGACATTTGAGATCTAAATCATAACAGGGGGAATTTGTAATTAAAAGTCAAATAGTATTAAATTTAGGAAATTCATACCTCATTATTAACATATTGTTTTAAAAATATTCCCATCCTCTAATGATACAACTTTTTCCTTGGATTCTTAGCAGAAACTGACTGTTATTTGTATCACCTTGGAAAAAGGGACTCAACCTAGAGTCTTAATTCAGGAGAATATATCTGTAGTGAAGAAGAAATTATGATTGGGTTTGTTTAGCATGTGAAAATAAGAATTATTAGCATAGTGAATGTGTTGATGGTGTTTTCCTCCCATTCTTTTCTCTGAACTACATATATACTTACAGGGAGGTGATGAAGTTAAGGAGCTATGGTGAGATAATAAGTTCTAGAAATAACCCCTTGTATATTAGAAATTTAAAAACTCATTGCTGTCAGATAAATGTATTTAATGACTTAAAAAATTACAACATAGAAGTAACAAGAAGGAATAGTTGTGAATTAGTGAATGCTTTACACTGATTTGATTAGCATGCTAATTGAAGAATATCTTGTTTTACATTTTAATAATCATTTTCACTTGTTTTGTGATATGGTCATACTCTGATACCTTTCAACAGATTTAGGTCATGTATAATATTTAACATTACATTTTGTTTTGTGCATTCTGTGGAACTGAAGGTAAATATGTTAACTAGGAAAATGAGTAAGATGATTTTTTAAAATATTCATTCTCTAGGTTAAAGAGGAGTAGTTAATATTAATCTTAATGCCTGGATTGTAAGTTTAAGTACCCTTGTCAATGACATTTTATGCAATTTGAGTCTGTATTTTATTCAGTTCATGAGCACTAGCAGTGTAATTTTCTTTTAAATGTGGGTAAAGAGAACACAATTTTACCATTCAATTCTATGATCAAGAAATTTATGTGCCTAGCATTCTGCACAAATATTACATAGTAAAATACTTATATTCTAGGTATTATTTTACTTTAAAGTTTTTTTAAAACTTTGTCTAAACTGGTATCTTATTTATTTTATAGGGTGGGCTGAAAAACAGCAAACATGAATGCACCCTGTCTTCACAAGAATATGTTCATGAATTGCGATCTGGTATTTCAGATGAGAAACTTCTTAACTGCCTAGAATCCCTGAGGGTTTCTTTAACCAGTAATCCTGTCAGGTAGGTGATTCTTATCATTTTGGTATGATTCATACAATTGGTGCTATACATAATTGAGAATAGAGTCAGTTATCTTATTTTAACTTCAAGATTTTCTGACTAGGAGTCTGATATTAGCTGATAGAACAGCAATGTTTGTCAGGTTGTAAACATTTAAAATATGTTTAGTTAACTTGATTTTTAAAATGTGTAATTTTAAAGAATACAGATATTACATGAATATTTAATTTCTCTTTGATTGTATTAGGCCAGAAGTTATATATCCAGTTTCACATGGAAATCTATTTATGTACTCAGATAATTATTATTAGATATTTATTTATAAAATAAGTATATTGGTTCTCTACTTTTATTTTTTTTTAATTTGAGAGGTATATATTATTTCATATTTTATATAATTTTTAGATATATTATTCATATATTTTTCTAATTTTGAGATGGCAAACACTAAATTATTTCAACCAGTAAAAGAAATGAGACAGAGATCATTAATAAACTTCTTAAAACTACACAGTTAAGCTATTACTTAAAACTACACAGTTAAGCTATTACGTGACTATATTACAAAGGAATGTAAAGGAGAAGGTTACTTCCTAGTAATAGATTCCAATAACTGTTCCTTGATTAAGCATAAAATGACTTCAAATTAATAACACCCCAAATAAATTTTTTACTAAAGAAAAATAGATCTTTCAGTGTACTAGCAAAACACTCTAAGATCTACTCAATTGCTACAACATTAACTTTATGATGATGATGATGACGACGACGACAGGGTTTTGCTATGTATTTCAGGCTGGTTTTGAACTCACTATGTAGCCCAGGCTGGCCTCAAACTCACTGCTATCCTCCTGCCTCAGCTTCCTAAGTTTTGGGATTACAGGTGTGTGCCACCACTCTCTACCAACATCAAGTTTAGAATTTACTAGATAAGTTTATATATAAAAAAATCATATAGTGATTTTATTCATGTTTTTCCTAATATGTAATAGATTTAAATCTTGTACATTTTTTGACTGGAACACACAACCTTGAAAATAATTTAGAGTTTACTCCTTCAGTTTGCATTTTATGTATAAATTTTAAAATGCCATATTATTTATATATAATTGTACATTTAGCAAAATAAGTGGAAAGTTATAATTTTGTAACAAAAAAATTAAGTTATATGTGACTTACTTTGAAATATAATAATTGTTCAAAGGTGGCTGTTTTTTCATTTCTTTCCCAATGCTTCTAGTTTTAATGATTTGAGAAAAGTATGTGAGTTCTTTTAGAACAGTAACAACAGTATATCCCATGACCCACCCCAATATAATCTATAACACCCTACCATAGTGCTGAGGACTTATGTGTTTCAAAAATGTCTTTCGGTACCGTACGTTGATTGAATGATTGAGTAAATAAATCTTGAAGAAGTGACTGGAAGAAATTGTACCACTTAGGAATGAAGGGGGAGACTAGTACGGATTTTAAGTAGTGAAAATGCATTTTTGTAAAGATGGCGGGAAAGGGTTGAAATTATACGTGGTACCTTTAATTATACGTGGGGCTGTGGTTGCAGCACAGCAACAAAGGATTATGGGATCAGCTGACAATTTGACAGGTTTTGATTGGGTGGAGGCCACTACTTTCTGGTATCTGATTGGTTCTACTGGTATCAAGAAGCGGACTGTGTCGTCAAACACTTGGCATTCCATTTTTGCCGGAGCTATGAGGTAACTTGTGCATCGGCCTGCAGAGTCAAACCCCACCTCTTCCTCTGCTTAAGCTGAGCCTTAAGATGAAAAAGAGTGAGTTTGGGAGCTATGGCAAGATCTCTGCTTCAGATGAGGCTAGTGGGAGGAGCAATAACCAGCTGCCTAAGGGAGGCACAAGTACTGTGACCAAGATCGCAAGACCAAGGTCCCGAATCCAGATCATTACACCTTGTTGTATAAGCCAGCTGCTCACCTCCACTCTGGTTGACAACGTGTTCAAAATTAGGGGTTTTGAGGTTTCCCAGATCTCCATTGTGAGGATAATCCGGCAAGCAGAGAGGGCTCCAAACTATATTCTTTACAAAATTGATGACATGACCTCTAAGCCAATTGAGGCCTGCCAGAGGCTTGGCAGAGATAAAGCCAAGCAGGGGATGACTCCACTGCCAGTCGGAGTCTATGCCAAAGTGTTCGGTGTTCTCACAAGCTCCACAGGAGCAAAGAGTCTTGAGGTATTGAAAATTCGTGTCCTTGAGGACATGAACGAATTCACCACGCATATTCTGGAAGTAGTTAATTCACACATGATGTTGGATAGAGCGCACCAAGAGTCCACTGAGGAAAGTATGCCTGTGGCCCCGTCAGAAATGGATAACACTGCTGGGGTTCATGACCAGTGTCAATTTAAATTCTTCCTGAAGGAAGTGCTGCGATTGATTCAAGAGTGTCCCCTATTGGAAGGGAAAAGTGTCCATGAGCTGCAGACTGAGATCTGCACGAGTGTCAAAGACATCAAGCAAGCAATTGATCATCTGACCATTGAGGGCCATATTTATTCTACTGTGGATGAGGAGCATTTTAAATTTGCTGGTTAGAGCAGTGAAAACAACTTTTCATTTTCTGAAGATCTTTGTGAATAATTTTGACCTGTTGACTTTTACGAAGTAGGATTTTTCAACAAAAATCTCAATTGGCATCCTCTGACAACTTTTCTAACTGCCTTGAACTTCTCTGGTTTTCTAACTTGAAGCTCAGAGGGAGATGGTGATAGATAAATTGACTGGAGTTTGTGGGATTTATCAGCAAGATAATGAAAACATTCGACAAAAGATGAATTTGGGAAAGAAAAACTACAGAAAAAAATAGAATTTATTATTGTGGGGGTGTTTCCTTTACTGAAATCTCTGCATATTTAAAAAAAAAAAACCCTAGATGTACTCAGAGAGCTAGCCAAGAGAGAAAAAAAAGGCTTATGTTTTACTTGTTTTTACACTAGTCTTATTTTTCATGTTTGGATTTAACTTTTCATAATCATATTAGTATTTCTTCCTAAATATAGTAATTGGTTAATTAAAATTTTCTAAAAATAGTAGCTCATGACTTCAAATGCAGTTGAAGCTTTGAATGATTTGCTATTACCATAGATTTATGTTTTCTTCAAGTAAGATTACACTGTATTTAAATCATTTTTGTTGAGTTATCTTTAAATTCATTTTTCTTAAAATGTGTTGTTTCTCTAAGTTTGATATGTTGGTGTATTATCTGTATTGTTATATGCTCAGTTTTATGTAAAATAGTAGTTTACTTAGAAGTTAGGCAAATAAAAGATCATTATATGAATATGAAACTTTGTAAGTTTAACAGAAATTTATTCAAATGTTTTATTACAGTTATTTTGAAAATTGTAACTTTCCTTTGTAATTTTTTTCTAAGTACATTTGAATATTTTATGTTCTTGAGGATTAGTGGTTTTCTGTATCCAGAATAAAATTTTTCTATTCTCTACATAATACCAGTAGCATGTTATATCTTAGTATTAATATTTTAGTGTACATTAAATTATGTGAGGCTTAAATCAATAACCATTAGAGTAAGCTCTCAGTTACATATATAGTATCTCTCTAAGTTCTAGTTTGTTAATGTTACAAGGAGGAAAAAATGAGAATATTTTGGAATATATATATCTATTTAGGCAATTGTGGGTGTGTTTATGCACCTGTGTGTGTGTGTGTGTGTGTATACGTTCAGTCCAGTAGAAGAGAAGAATATCACTTGTCTTAATTGGGCTACAAAAAGAAGGCACAAAAAACCCCAGATAATCCCTTACATATATACCATTGTCAGTAATCTGTACTACCAAGAAAACTATTACAGATAGGCCTCTTGTTGCCAGTCCTTTTGAAAACTGGCCACCAGTACTGAAGATTAAATTTAGAGCTTTCACACTGAGGTATATCTCTAGCCTCTTTTGTAAACTTTTTGAGACAGGGCCTCACTAAGTTGCTAAATTGCCATGCCTGATTCAAACTTGCTGTCTTTCTGCTTCAGTCTTCCAGACTGCTAGGATTATGAGCACATGCTATCACACACAAATGTTACTATTTTATGGATGAGGAATTTGAGTTTCAGAGAGGTTAATTTGCTTTATTATAAGGTTATGTGTCTAGTCATTGTTAGCATTCCAACACAGGCCATATTTCTTTTCACCCTGGGCCCTTAAGAGCTATTTTGCACTGCCTCACAATAAGGAAAGTCTATTACAATATTCTCCTTTTACTCTTGTCATATACTAAATATTTTGACTTTCTTTCATTAAAACTTGTTTGACTTGAATAAAAAAAACTATGAGAGACTGCTGCAGACAGGCAGGTCTGCGCACACCCTACCCAGGTCGCGAGTCTCGTGAAACATGCCGAATCAGTCCGCGCCCCAGGATTAAAGATCTAAATATTAAAATAGAAACGCTGAACCAGTTGGAACAGAGGTTAGGTAGAACCCTTGAAGACATCGGTGTAGGAAAAGATTTTATGAACAAAACCTCAGTTGCCCGTGAACTAGCACAAACAATCAACAAGTGGGATCTCTTCTTATTAAAAGGCTTCTGCACAGCAAGAGAAACCACTAGCAGTGTAAAGAGACAACCCACAATGTGGGAAAAAATCTTCACCTGCTCTTCCTCAGACGAAGGTCTACTATCTCAAATATATAAAGAAGTTAAAAAGATCAGACCTCCCAAATATAAAGACCCAATCCAAAAATGGACATCTGAAATGAATAGACATTTCTCAGACAAAGAAGTAGAAATAGCAAATAAATACATGAAAAAATGTTCAACATCACTGGTCATTCGAGAGATGCCAATGAAAACAATGCTGAGATTCCACTTCAGTCCAGAAAGAATGGCTGCTATCATGAAATCAACCAATAACAAATGCTGGCTGGGCTGTGGGGAAAGAGGAACCCTGCTCCACTGCTGGTGGGAGTGTAGACTGGGGCAAGCACTGTGGAAATCAGTATGGAGATACCTCAAAGAACTAAAACTGGAAGTCTCATTTGACCCCGCTATTCCACTGCTGGGGATCTTCCCCAAAGAATTAAAAGAATCAAACCACAGTGATATATGTGCATCCATGTTCATAGCAGCACAGTTTGTGATACCTGAAACTTGGAAACAACCCTAATGCCCATCAACTGGAGACTGGATAAAAAAAATGTGTTTTTTTTTTATAAAATGGAGTACTACTCAGCCATCAAAAATGAGAAATTAGAGACATTTATAGCTAAATGGATGCACATTGAGGCGATAGTCTTAAGTGAAATAAATGGGACACACATGTATAAATACCGAATAGTTTCTCTGGTGTGAGAAACTGAAAGTGTAAATAAGGACTAAATGTATAATAGGTAATGTGAAATAGGAAGAAAAGGGGCAAAGGGGAAGGAAGTGGGAGGGCTAGGGGAAAGGATAGAAGGGAATGGGATTAATATGAGAAAATGGAAAGATAGGAACAAAATCTTTGTAAATAGGGAGGACTGGAGGGATTGAAGGGAGGGCTGGGCAAGGGTGAAAACCAAGAACCAAGAGAGACTATGTAAAGGTGCAAATTTCCAATGATGAATGTCATTATATTGTATACCTAAAATGTACCAATGATTAGAATGAATAATCAATAATGTAAAATAGGAAGAAAAGGTCCAAAGGGGTAGCGGTAGTGAGAGGGGCAGGGGAAAGGAAAGAAGGGAAAGGAAAAATGCTGAGAAATGGACAAAATGGAAATAAAGTCTTTGTAAATAGGGAAGGGTGGAGGGGGTGAAGGGAGGACTAGGAATGGGGAAAAAATAAGAACCAAGATGCATTATGTAAAGGTACAATTCCCAATGAGAAATGTAATTGTGTTGTATACCTACAATGTACCAATAAAAGAATTTAACAAAACAAACCAAAAAGCACTATGAAACTTTTTAACAAAAAATGAAAAATATAAAAATAATTTTGTCCCCATCCATTAGCTTAACAAGTAATATTTACTTTTTTTGTAGTTATGGAAATGTTAGTTGTGTAGCTCAGTTTAATTTTTCTTAGGAGTTCTGTAACAATCACCACAAACTGGGTGCTTTAAATAAGAACAATTGATCTCTCACAGTTTAGGTAGCCAAAAGTCTGAATCAAGATGGAGTCAGGAAATTTCTTCCAGAGACTCCAGGATACGGGTCTTTCTTCACTTCTTCCAGCCATCTCAGTTGTCTTTTATAAGGACACTCTAATTGGATTTGGGGCCTACCTACATCTAGTATAAATGTTATCTCAATTCTTATCTCAACAATATCTACAAAGACCATGTTCCAAATGAAGTTGTATTCTGAGTGGACAGTATTCAACCCACTGCAGTTATGCAAAGGAACAATGCCCTCAAAATCACTGAAATAACAAAATTAAGATAATTCTGGCCAGGTATTATAGTATTACTATATCAGAATAATAAAAAAGTACAATTATTTATATTTATCTTCTTTAATGAAATAAAATTTTATTGACTTTCCCCTTATAAAACAAAATTTTCTGTCAAACTAGATCTTGAGAGGTAGCTTGTTACATTTATAGTTACAGTGCAATGCCAGTCTTATGATCTAATCTCTAATCATTGATCACTATCTGGTGACCTTGATTGAGTCCATACATCTCTTTGGGCCTCAGTTTCTCCATATGTAAATGCAATCAAAATCTTGTAGCTATAAACTCTTCTTTTTTATATTCTCTTTTACTTGTTTCAATCCCATTATCTTTGTAACTGGAATAAGATTAGTGTTTAGAAATTATTTTGAAGAGTGTGAAAAATGTTCCTCTGTAAGGTTAGAGAGCTTCCTAGCATCCTATTTTTTTTATATTTATAAGTATATTTAGTCAATCTGACAGATATTTATAATTTCCTTTAAATAGTGAAGAAAGCAGTTTCTAAAATACTGTTGCATAACTATTTTTCAAAATTTACATCCATTAGTACCAAGGCATTTATCCTCTCATGGGTGATTTCCTGTTTTACTATAATTTTATCTGGTTTCTTTTTCTTTAGCCACTACTAAAAGAAAACTTATGTAAGTGTATATACACACATGTATTAATAATACTTACTATATATTCTCAAAGCACCATCATTTCAGAATATTAAAGTCATCAATTTCAAATTCATATGGTATTTAATAATTCCAGTGATAAAGGCTCTGCGAAAGTAATTTCATTATACTATTTTCTGCTAAAAGCATATATTTAATAAAAGTACCTTTTATAAACCATCATTTAGTGGTCATATCCAAAATCATTTTTTTACTATATATTCCCTCAACATTGATTTTCTAATGTATATATTTACCTTCACCAGCCTGTGCTCTCTAATAGTTTCATGGATGTATGTCTGCTTTTTTCATTTAGATTTTAGTCTCCTCTGGGGAAGGGACCTTCTTTCCCTCTCATTTGTTTCCTTATACCTGTTACTATGTGATTTATATACAATAATGTATGATTTGTTGTGGATATTAACCCACCGTCATCAACAACCTATGCTTTAGCAGTGAGAATGAATTTGAATTAGTCTGGCACTAGTTTGTGATCATGCATTTTTATCTGTAATCAGACAAAAAGAATGACGCTAACTTCTTGCATATAGGAATGAAATTCATTGGTTTGATTTCAAGCATATTCATAAACACACAGCATAGCATACTTCACACAATAGTATTTTTACAGAAGCCTCGTGAATTAATGAAATTTAATGTTTACAACTCAATTTAACATGCTAAAAATGCATGTGTTTTCACTATAAAATATATCTCCATCTGCCATCACAAATTGCATTGTACTTTGCACATACTATGATCTGTGTGTGATTTAGAATGAAAATGACATTATTTAGAGATTTTTATTCATGTGATTTTACCAAAGTTTATGA